AACAAAAAACACTCAACCGGAAAAGCAAAAAGAAAAAAGAATCCAAAAATAAGAAGATATTGTAAGGCCCTCATAGCCCCAGCTGCCACCACCACCTTCTGCAGTTTATGGGGGAGGAGGGCTCCGAGATCAATTGCCCCTGAGAGGGTGGTGGCAGGCAGGGCTGCGAGGGCTGAGCCCTTTGCATGAATTTTGTGCATTGGGCCTCTAGTGAAACCATAAAATTGTAGAAGAAACCATAGGCAGCAAATTCTCTGGCATCTTGCATGGAAGGATTGTCACCAATACATCTCCTAGGGTTATATAAACAAAGGAAAATATAAACAACCATTACTGGTTTGGCTAAGTAGATAGAGCATCAGTCTGCGGAGTGAGGGGTCCCAGGTTCGATTCCAGTCAAGGGCATGTACATTGGTTGTGGGCATGTCCCCGGTTGGGAGTGTGCAGAAGGCAGCTGATCAATGTTTCTCTCTCAGATGTTTCTAGCTTTCTATCCCTCTCCCTTCCTATCCGTAAAAAATCAATAAAATATATTAAGAAAAGAAAATATAAACAAATGGGACTCATCAAACTAAAATACTTCTGCAAAAACACACACACACACACACACACACACACCACACAAACACACACACCATCAAATTGAAAAGGGAACCCACTGTATGAGAGAACATATCTCAAAAATATATAACTTAACAAAAATATACAACTTAACAAAATGAAAACAAATAATCCAATTTAAAAATAGGCAAAGGACCTGAATAGACATTTGTCCAAAAGGGATATACAGAAGGCCAAGATACATATGAAAATATGCTCGAAGTTGCTGATCTTCGGAGAGATGCAATGAAAATGATGAGCTATCACCTCACACTTGTCAAAATGGTTACTATTCAAGTGCTGGTGAGACTGTGGAGAAAAGGGAACCCTCGTGCACTGCTGGTGGGAATGCAGCCTGGTGCAGCCACTGTGGAAAACAGTATGGAGCCTCTTCAGAAAACTGAATATGGAACTGCCCTTTGACCCAGTGATCCCACTTCTGGGATCAAATCCTATGAATCCAGAAACAACAATCAGAAATACAATATGTGCACCCCTATGTTCACAGCAACATAATTTACAATAGCTAAGATCTGGAAATAGTCCAAGTGCCCATCAATATTTGGATTAAAAAACTAACAAAAAAATGGGTACATTCACACAATGGAACACTATCCACTATCCTATGTGATAAAAGCCTAATATGCAAATTGACTGAACTGGTGGAATGACCAATCACCATGACTCACACTGACAACCAGGGGGCAGGTGCAGGAGCTTCCCTCAGTTTGCAGGTCCCAGGCCACCAAGGCAGGTGTGAGTGGAGCCCCCCAGTTGCCCTGCAGATCAGCCCCGATCGATGGCCAAGCTTAAGGACCCTACCTGAACATGAATTTCATGCACTGGGCCTCTAGTGCAGCTATAAAAACAGGTAGGATCTGTTACTTTTGAAACAGCATGGAGGGATCTGGGGAGTATGCTAAGCAAAATAAGCCAATCAGAGAAAGACAAGTATGACATAATCTCACTTATATGTGGAATCTAATGAACAAAATAAACTGATGAACAAAATAGATTCAGACGGACCGATCTCAGGGATGGAAGAAGCAGGAAGAGATTAACCAAAAATGTAATATGCATATATGCATAGCCCTGAGACTCAGACTCTGGGGTAGAGTGGGAGGAGGGTACCGGGTGCAGATGGGGGCCATCTGTTTTGCTGTTTATAATTTTTTTTAATTATAAAACAATGAGCAGTTTAGGAGTAATGATTGCCAGAGGCGTCTGAGTCAGATATTCAGGGTGTAACTTGGGAGTTTGTTCAGTGGTTAAGATTTCCAAAATAGGGGATGTTTTAATATTGAACACAAGTCACAGCTGTCACCCTAAATGCTCTGTGCAACCCATTTCCTCCCTGTAGGCCTATCAGAGAAGCAAGGCAGTGCTCTCTGGAGTAGACCGTAGGTGCTAGGGCATACCTGAGGAGACAGTGTACACTTGGTTGGATGGTGGTGTTCAGGATCTGTTGAAGGGCTGAGAGACGGGAATTTGTGAGGCCAACCAGTAAACTTAATAAGTGATTGTAGTTCTCTTCTTTAATTTCCAAAACGGAAGGTCTTGAGAATCCCGCATATTTATCAGGCTTGGGTTTTTAATAGAAGTTTTCCAGTCAAAAACAGGTAACAGAAGTAGACTAGTGGTTATTTCATTACCTCAGAAGAGATGCAAACTTATGGTACTATGCATCATTTTGCAATAATTCTCTCATTTGTGCATATAATGTATATATAGGAAACACAGTATGTGTGTTACTGTAACAGGAACCTGGATAGAGTTAGAAAAGATTAAAACGTGTAGGTTAGATGGGGTAGAAAGGGGATTTATTAGCAGGACATTGGTAGGAAGTCACTCCTGTTGCGGGGGACAGCATGACAGGTTATAGGTGTGGACAGGCATGTTTTCAACCCACTGGCTTTCCCTTGCTGTTTCTCTGTCCTTCTACTCCTGCTCCTTGTTTGTAGAGGTAGCTCTCCCATGAAGGCATGCAGATCCCGTCCAGGGAGCTCTCAGGGCCAGCACAGGCTGCAGCTCCTGGTTGTCCAGTTCCTGCGCCTCCTCAGGCCCACCCCCTGCATCCCAGCTGACGGGCAGGCCCTGCGTGCAGCCTGTGGTGTCCAGGTTCTTCCTTGCCTCCACGCTTTTGCTCATGCTGCGTCTCTGAAGTGTCTGTCTCCCTGCTTCCCTGGAACTCGACGTAACCTGGACAGTCCTGGTGACGCCCCACCTCGGGAGAGAATGGAAGATCGGGCCCTGGTGGCCCAGCTGAGGCTTCCCCCAGAGCGAGCAGACAGCTCTGGATGGCCTTCGCCCAGGCCCACCCAGCTCTCTGCCTGTCAGCAGGACAGGGGCAGCAGGACTCACAGGAGCTGAGCAGTCTGAGAGAGAGAGAGAGAGAGAGAGCCAGCCCGAGTGGTTAGCACTGGCCAGGGCTCAGAACACAGCCACACAGAAGGACCGCCCCCAGTGCGGGGCGGGGGTGGCAGAGGAGCGCCTCCTCACGCCCCTGGACAGCTGGCAGCTCGCCGGCCGGTCCCTCCTGGCGAGGAGGGAGCATCTGTCCATGAGGGAGAGGACGAGAAAAGCAGTTGCAGGGATGTACCATAGCATTTTCTAAATGTGGACTTAGATTTTATAACATGTAATGTGACCACACAATTATATGGTTTCACATGTAATTCACATACAGCCCTTAGTACACTTCTTCTAAATTAAGTGTTATTTGGTCTGTTTTAATTTCTAGCAGTTAGAAATTGAATTTTCTAATATCTTTTTCATTTTAAAAAGCCCATCAAATTTTGTGTTTGTTAATGTTTTTCTTGTACACAAGAAACCAATCTGGAAACAGAGTATTTCCATAACTCTGGAATCCTCAGATTTGGCAATTCTCTTTATTGTTTTCCCATTGTCAGAACTGTTTTCTTCCTATGAAGTTTTTTGGGAATGAAAGGAAATAATTGAATTGTTTTTTTCCTTTAAAATCTTGGCTTATCAAGATACATAAACATGCCGAAACCGGTTTGGCTCAGTGGATAGAGCATCAGCCTGCAGACTGAAGGGTCCCAGGTTCGATTCTGGTCAGGGGCATGTACCTTGGTTGCGGGCGCATCCCCAGAAGGGGGTGTGCAGGAGGCGGCTGATCAATGATTCTCTCTCATCGATGTTTCTAACTCTCTACCCCCCTCTCTCTTCCTCTCTGTAAAAAATCAATAAAATATATATTTTTAAAAAATTTTAAAAAGATACATAAACATAATAAGTATATTTCAGATCAAATAAAAAGTGTTGAGCACTATACCTCAAGAGCTACATTAGACTGTTAGAAAGATAATACAAAAAATTTGCCACTTAGTCTTAAAGTAAATCATAATCTAATCAAAGACATTAGCTAGAGTTCCTGGAAAGCTAACTATGATCCTGCCTCTTTTATAGAGTTTACTAGTGGCCCAGTGCACGGATCTGTGCACCTTGAAGGGGAATAATTAGCCCTGCAGGGCGGACTGGTGGCAGGCCAGCTGCACCTGCGGCAACACCACAGCTCAAAGGGCGTCTGTTGAGTGAGGGAGTGCCTCTGGCAGGGGGGGTCCAGTCTGGCCTTCTGGGATTGGGCCGAAACCGGCTCTCCAACATCCCCCAAGGGGTCCCCGGAATTCAAGAGGGCACTCTGCAAAGTTGCTGTCGCGGGGCAGTTCCTGCACTGAGCGTCTGCCCCCTGGTGGTCAGTGTGCGTCATACCTACTGTACGGTCAGTCCATCGGTCAGAGGGTTGCTTAGCCTTTTACATATATATATAGATCATATGACAACTTTAGCTCTCCAGATTAGTCCAGAAACAACCACAAGCATAGTCAGTTCTAGGTGTATCAGATGCACGGACCTCCGGCCCTTCCCAAACACCCACCCTTCGGGGAGCCTGGCTGCCCTGCAGCCACATTCCTGGCATCCTCCACCATGAGCTCCGGCCAGAGAGACTGCGTGGGCTGCCTGTGTTCACTTGATCATGTGATGGAGTCTGTATGCCAACATATGACAGATTACAGCAGCAAAATGTGTGCAGGCAGCGGGCTGAGGCGCACGCACTGCACAGCAGGAGCAATAAGGAGCCGCCCCAGCCCTGGTGCCGCCACATGGCCGCGTGTCGCCGAGGGCGAGAGGTCTGGTGCTGTCACTAGATGAGAGGACCTGAGTCACTGAGGTTTGGTTTCCACGTGGAGGACTTGTGAAGACAGCGGGCAGTTTAAAATACATTTTAGAGGTTACGCCAATCAATATTGAAACAAGACGTCTCCACTTTAATGGTAAAGTGACCTAAAAACCTTGCCATCTATGCATCTGGCAAAACCGCAAATAAAATACCCCCATGACGACAGAAGTTCCACGGACACTGACCGCGCACTCGGTACCTGACAGGCGCTCCCCGTCGACAGCACGGAGCCCGTTCTCGCTGACTTTGAGTTCCTCCAGGGTTGGCGGCAGCGCCGAGGGAAGCTCTGCCAGGCTGTTTCCGTCCAAGTTCAGGTGCACCAACTTCTTCAACGGCTTAAAAAGCAGACCTCAGGTTACTGCTTCGTCTGGCACAGGTGTCCGGGACACCCCACTTCCTGGTCAGTTAGCTGCAGTTATGCCTCTAAGCCTGCCTCACTGGGGTTTCGATGGGGTCCCCCTCTCCTCTCTGCCATTCTAGGCAGTCACGTTCCACTCGCCGTACAGATCAGCCGCACGTACTGTGGCCACAGGACCGGGAGAAAGCGCCTATCGCACTGGATTGAGTATGTTTTGCTAGATCTTGGGTTTTCACCTTCTCAGCAGCAGACACACGGGTATTAAAGCTCTCTGTGTGCGTTCTCTGTCTGATGTACCAGGGCAGTGGCCTAGGTCCCCAGGGTGGCGGTGTTAGCACAGCAATTCGAACCCCGCGAACATATTTGTAAAACTCGGCTTTCCGCTCACTAACTGGAAGCAGATTATAACAGCACTAACGATGGAGCGTGTCTCAGCAAGCGGTGGTCGGCATCACAGGTCATTGCTTCGTGGCACCCTCACGGCTTTGTCTGCACCCCAGCTGCCGTCAGCAGCACTCCCACTGGCGGGTTTGAGTGGGGGCATGTGGGCGACTCACGTCAGTGGGTTCAGAGCAGTTTGGGACAGAAACCCCCAAACAAGAAGGGAAGGTGATTCCTACAATGCCTTCCTTTTTATCAAAACTGGGAATGCATGGTGCCCAGTTTTCGATCAGGACAGCTGCCTGAGGGGCACTCGGACTGAGAGGAAGTGTGGGCCTTCTCCCCTGCCAGCCCGAGTGGGTGAGCCAGGACTGTGCAAGGAGGGGACAGGCCTGCGGAGGGCAGTTTGCCCAGTGCTGTGGTGTTTGTGCTGGGCTTCTGAACACACATATTTGTGAGCATTGCATACACACAGCCATCTCCTTTCCTGCCCCCTTGCCTTTTCTGTTTCTCAGAAAGTCCTTCATCCTCTCTTCTCCTTTTTAGAGAAAAAAAGTCTAATCTGAATCTTTTTGAAACTTATCCTGTGCTGTTTCCCTCTTCTTCTTTTCCCAACCTGAACCCTGAGTCCATGTGTGTTTCCAGATGCCCTCTTGCTAACGTGTCCCCTCATCGGTGCTGCCTGGCCCAGAGCGGGGGGCTCACACGAGCTGCCACCCAGCGTTAGGGAAGCTTCCAGATTCCGTCCGTCCTCCCTGGAGCACCTCACATCATGTTCTCAGCTACACGGGGGCAGCTAGTCTATAACTAACACACTTAACATTGTCATTGGTGCAGTGTCTGGTGCCCGGAGGGTGCGGCGGCCGGACACTTGTGCCTAACTGGCCCGGGGCCAGGGAAAGCTTCCACAGGTCAGGGTCCTCAGGGAGGAAAGTTTCTCCCCTTCGGGGAATGCTCCCAGGCAAACATTCAGCTTCTCCTCTCTTCCCCATCTCCACCACTGCAGTGCGAGTCATGGGATAGCGATTCAAACAGATTTGACAGATCAGAGTGTGGGTTTACCTTGAATGCTTTTGGACTTATGCCTGAGGAGGTGATGTTATTGTTGCTCAAATCAAGCCTTTCCACATTCGGCAGTCCATAAAACGCTTCCTCTGGGATGGAGACGATGGCATTGCCTAAGACAGGACAATTGGGTTTTAGACCGATGTGCCAATACCTACACACATGCACTTCCACAGATAGCAACCGAGAGTTTTCTCTGTAGGAAAAAGCAGTCCGCACAGCATGGGCAGATTGCATATTACATAAGCAAACGCACATTTAGAGAAATAAAAGACTGAGACTAAACTGTTCCACAGATGTTCTCTCTAAGGACTTGCCATGCTCTAGTACTTCATGTTTTAGACAAAGCTGCTTAAAGCGTGCAGTGTGTGCTTGCTGGACAATTCTGGTAGGCTGGGCATGGTATAACGGAGGTTTCTAGATGGTTTCTAGTTCCTCACCTTTTCCCATAGGCATTTTTTAGGTCCTGCTCGCAACTATCAGCCTGCTGTTAGTCAGGGACATTGTGGCATGCCCATTCTCTCTCTGGAGCACCAGGCTCAGTCCCTAAATCAGCCGCTGAGGAGATAATCTCTTCCCCTCCAGGCCCGAGGTTCTGCTCCCATGACTGATCTGCAGAAGTTCCTACATGCCTTAACTTCATGGGGTTTTGTTTTGACGTTTAGTTAAGTACAGTAGTCAATGGTTTTAAACTCAGAAAATGAGCTTCCCAGAAAGAGTAAGCACAGTATAAACCACATGTGGCCCCCTGCAAATCCACGCTCCTGTGTGCAGCGGCCATCACTGGCATAAGGCTTTAGACTTTGGAGAACCAAGCTTGTGGACATCTGGCACGCGTGTGCAGGAGGGGCTTTGCTGGAGTCACAGGACCGTGGTGTCAGGAGGCCGTGATGCACAGGGGTCTGTCACAGACGGGCCATCCTGAGCAAAGGTGTCAGACTTTCTGTTGAGTAGTTATATTATGATTTATTTTTTTTTTTGGGGGGGGGGGGCGGCTTTGAAATAGATTCTTTAATTTTTTTTAATAAACCTTTATTGTTCATATTATTACAAAAGTTCCTCATTTTTTCCCCCCTCCACCAGGTTCCTACCCCACCCTCTGCCCTTTCCCCACCCCCATTGTCCTCATTCATAGGTGCACAGTTTATGCTCAGTCTCTTCCCCGCCCCCCCCCCCACTCCCCCTTTCCCTGAGAATCATCAGTCCACTCCCCTTCCATACCTCTGATTCTATTATATTCAACAGTTAATATTGTTCATCAGGTTTTTTAATTCCCTTGGTTTTTATATTCACTTGTTGATAGTTATGTATTTGTTGTTCATAATTTTTATCTTTATTTACTTTCTCTTCCAAAAGAACCCCCTTCAGCAATTCATATAATTCTGGTTTGGCGGTGATGAACTCCTTTAGCTTTTTTTTATTAGTGAAGCTCTTTATCTGGCCTTCGATTCTGAGTGATAGCTTTTCTAGGTAGATTATTTTTGGTTGTAGGTTCTTGCTATTCCTCACCTTGAATATTTCTTGCCATTCCCGTCTGGCCTGCATGGTTTCTGTTGAGAAATCAACTGACAATCATATGGGTGCTCCTTTATAGGTAACTACCTGTTTCTCTATTGCTGCTTTTAATATTCTCTCTTTGTCTTTTGCTCTTGAAATTTTAATTATGATGTGTTTTGGTGTGGTCCTCTTTGGATTCCTTTTGTTTGGGTTTCTGTGCGCTTCCTGGACTTGTAAGTCTAATTCTTTGGATTCCTTTTGTTTGGGGTTCTGTGCGCTTCCTGGACTTGTAAGTCTAATTCTTTCACCAGGTGGGGGAAGTTTTCTGTCACTATTTCTTTCAGTATGTTTTCGGTATCTTGCTCTCTCTCATCTTCTGGGATCCCCATAATTCTGATGTTGGTTCGCTTGAAGTTGTCCCAGAGGTTTCTTTCTTTTTTTTTTTTTTTTTTTTTTTTGTCTTTCAAGGTATTACTTTATTATGAGGTCACAACAGCAAGAGCAGTTTTGGTAGTCACATCTAATAAAGTGCAGAGATGACCACAAAAAGTTCAGAACAAGCAAATCCCTAAAGAAAGACATTTGAACATTTTTGAAATTTACATGTTCATGGTCCAATATAAGACTCATCTCACCCTGGCCTCAGTGTTTAGAGCTTTGGCGCAGACATGAGGGTCAGGGATTTGATTCCACTCAAGGGTGCATATCTCCCAGAGGTTTCTTACATTATCTTCAATTTTCTGGATTCTCTTGTCGTCTTGCTTCTGCGGAGGAGTGTCTTCTGGCTCTTTATGTTCCAAATCTTTGACTTGATTCTTGTGATCTTCCATTCTGTTTTTAGGACTGTATAATATTTTTTTTATTTCAGACAATGTATTCTTTATTTCTTGTTGATCCCTTATTATTTCTTGTTGATCCCTTATTATTTCTAGTTGATCCCTTTTCATATCCTCATAGGTCTTATCAACCTTTTCTAGGAAATTCTTGAAAAACCTTATAAACGTGGTTTTGAACTCTATATCCAGTCACTTTTTGTCCTCCATTTCTTTTGTTTGTGATCTGTTTCCTTTTCTCGGCATTTTCGCAGCTTCCCTGAGTTGGTAGCCTTAAAAGACTCTGTGTTCTGCTTGGATGGGGCGGAGTTTCAGGCTGGAGCCTACAGCATTGGCTTCCGTTAGCCCCACCCTATGAGGCTCCTGAGTCTCAGTATTCCTCAGGGTCCTTCAGTACTCATTGCAAGCACCCCGAAGAGAAAGGTGCCCTCGAGTTTTGCCTGCTACCAAACAGTTTAGGCTCTCCCCCAATGAGCCCGGAACAGGGATTCAGTTCAGTTGGAAGTGGGGTTCAGAGCAGTCTGGAGCTTTTGTCTCCTTCCTGCTAGGGTAATCCAGCGGCACAGTCAAACGCCCGTTCTCTGTTTGCAATGTGCGCGCCTCCAGGACTTCTTTTGCTGCTCCCCTGGGTTTCTGCCTTACACTCCAGGCTCCCTCTGTATGGGCCTGGGTCCCCAGGGTCTGGCCTAGAACTGGGGTTCAGTGCTTTCAGATCTGGGGTTCAGCACAGTCCGGAGCTTTTATCTCCTTCCCTCTAGAAAACGCCAGCCAGGCACTCAGCCTTCCCCTCCTCTCCGCCTCCGTCCTCTCTGCGCGCAACATGTCTCGTACCTTAGGCTTTTACAGCTCCTCTGATTTTCCTTCTGGTTTTCTCTTTCCTTCTCATTGTAGGATTTCCAGCCAGTCGACTTTCCTGTAGTTCTGGGTAATGTCCATTTTTTATTTTAGTTGTATTTTATTGAAATTGTTGTGTGAGGCTGCAGTTAGGTGTTACCTATGCTGCCATCTTGGATTCTCTCTCTATCATTTATTATTTTGATGGTAGTTTATTGCTATGACTTCCCCCAAGATGCCTGACCCCTCATGGGCCGTGTCACCATTGTCCATTGGCCCAGCCTCCCAGCCAGCCAGCCACACCACACGTGGTCATGCTGTTCCTGCACTCAGGACCTTTTCAGGTGGCCCTGTAGACACACGAATAGGAGTCGGGGCTGTCCATATCCACCAGAATGGCTAGCATGAGGGGGAACAGCCGACGGGGCACAGAATGCAAGTGAAACGTGTCAGTGTCACTTAGCAGTCCTCCTGGCACGTACTCCAGGGAGAAGGAAACGGGTCTCCACAAACATCTGTCCGTGGGTGTTTGTGACTCCAGTGCACAGAGCTGCCCAGCCTGGAGACACTCCAGATGCCTCAGCGGTACCAGCTGCTTATCCAGACGGCACTCAGCAGCAGGGAGGGCAGGATGTGGACCAAATGCAGCAGCCTGGAGACCCCGAAAGCAGTGTGATGGGGGATCCAGCTAAGGAGGCCGTGTGCCTCGTGGCCCCGTTCTCATGTCATCTGGAAACGTTTAAATTACAGGCATAGATACATCCTGGTGGCCAGGGCTTGTGAACGGAGGGACATGAAGAATTGGGCAGAGATCACCTGACTATATGTTTGTCTCAAAACTCAGTTCCATGCTAAAAATGAGTTTTACTCCATGAGTTACCCTCAGGAAAGCTGAGTTTAAGAATGGCTCAGTGGTTGAGTGTTGACCCATGAACCAGGAGGTCATAGTTTGATTCCAGGTCAGGGCACATGCCTGGGTTGCGGGCTCGATCCCTAGTAGGGACCAGGCAGGAGGCAGCAGATCAGTGATTCTCTCTCATCTATGTTTCTATCTCTCTCCCTTCCACTCTCTGAAAAAAACATTTTTTTTACAAAGTCCATGAGAAGTCATGGTTGGATTTGGAGGACTCTGCTTTACATCCAGTTATGCTATATTGTAGTAAAACACCTACCTCTTCTGCAGTGTTTATGTGTTTAAAGATTGTGAAAATAGACTGTTTAGAATCCATTTATATTACAAGATTAAAATACAACATTCATAGGGGGATGAGTTATTTACTTTCAAAGCTCAGAATGAAATGGATATCGGCATCTCTTACCAGCAAGCTCCAGGCTTGTCACCTCGGGCGCTGCCAGGGGTGGGATCTGGGTGAGGCCTGCACCGTTGCAGCTGATGGTCCTGAAGGACAGAGAGCACCCACTGGGCAGAGCTGGCCTGCTTCTGGGAGGAGCACCGGCTGGGAGTCGGGACAGCACCTGTAACACACCTCTGGTCTCCTCCTCCTCCTCCTCCTCTTCCTCCTCTTCCTCCTCTTCCTCCTCTTCCTCCTCCTCCTCCTCCTCCTCCTTCTCCTCCTCCTCCTCCTCCTCGGCTGTGTTTCCGTGGGGACGGGCCTGCCTGCCCTCCTCTCCAGGCCTCTGTTCGGCCCTGTTGCGCTGCCCCTGGGCAGCAAGTCTTCCTCGGTCCCCGGGCTCCAGGCTCGTTTTCCTTTGGTCCCTGTCTTCATTTTCTTTCATTCCTTCAGCCTCCTCAGACAGAAGTTTCTCTTTTTTCAGTGCTTGGTCCAGTTCCGCCCAAGGAGGAGGCTGTTGCCGATGAAGTGAATCAGGAGGTTCTCTTGGTTCTGAAGAATCACCAGAAAATTCAGTTGTGTCACTAATGCTCTAGCACTGAGTAGGAGTAGGAGGCTCTGACCATGCACGGAGGAGGCAGCGGGGGGCACATTGTGATATGAATAAAAGAGGAGTCAGAGCAAAAGGGGGGCTAGTGAGAATTCCCTCCAGGTATTTGAGTGTAGTTTAAACATGAAATGCATCTTAAAAATTTTTGTTTGGATAGTTTTAATAGTAACTATTTCTATGCTGTAAGATCTATTATAGACAATTTTTGTTTTGCCTGAGGTTTTACTATTTATTTCTACACAAGTGTCATTCTACCTGGTAACTAAGGAGGGGTGCAGAATGATAAGCAGCCCCATTGTTTATTAATAAGGCTGTTGATAAGGCCAGAATGTGTGCACCCTCAGGCTTATGGTAGAGAAATTGGCTTTTGTTTATAGATTTATTATTTTTGTACAATTTCCTTTCACCTTCATGAGTCTAAAAGCACTCTTTGCTAGAAAGGTCGTTTTTTCTCCTAGTCTCTACTGAAATCTTTTGCTTCTTGAGACGTACAGAAAACATCCGGCTTCAATAACCGAGAGAGCCCTGTGTACAATCACTGGCGGTCAGAGCGGAAACAGCGGTCAGCGGCAGCTAGGCCCGCAGGGGTTCGCTGTCAATGTTTGCCGAGGGCAGGCGTGGCTGGCACCGCACTGCCCTCTGGGTACTGGAGTTCTAGGAAGGAGCGAGGTCAGTGCCCATGCTTCCTCCCGTCAAATACATAAAGCCACTTCAGCCTCTCCTTGCCTTTATTTAAACTAACAGATCGCCCCTAGAGGGAGGGGCAGGAATAACCAGTCGGTGTCTCTGGGAAGACTGGTTCTTCTCTTTGAGAAGAACTCAAAGTATAATTATTTGAAGGATATCTTAAGATTTCCATTCAGTATGTACCATAAAGTGTTTGAGTTATTTTTTTCACATCTTTAGCAGAAAATACAAAAGGAGAATAGAAAAAAAAAATAGCAGAAGGAAGCTAAGACTATTATATTAAAACATTTAAAATCCTTCCTGTATATCCAAGTTTATTTTTCCAAAATAACTACAGCATTTTAAGAATAATTCAACTCCTTTGAAAAATGAGAATTTCTGAATCTTTATAAGCCTTAGGTTTCACCCTCCAAGGAGTCAATTTCATTAAACACTTACTTTCCAACACTTCCAAAGGCATAATACCTTAGTAAAATCATTGGTAGTATCCACCCAAGTACAGTTTCTGAATATTCTGGAGTTCTTCCTGGCAGGAGGCCTCCCTGTGATCATCCCTGGTCACAGACTAGGAAAGAGCACCCTTGCCTCCACTCTGACTTCCCCTGGGCTTGCATTTCAAAAGGCTGGGCTTGGCTTTGCTTGGGGAGATCTGGCCTCTCTTCTGAAGGGGCCTCTGCTCCCTCAGGGATGGGCCTGCGGGGACCCTGGGACAGTGAGCGGCCTACAGAGCCGCCCAGTGACCCTGGGCCCAGCAGCCCCGAGTGTGACACGCTGTGGATGGACAGATGGAATCTGTCCGGGCGCTCTCCCACGCAGGCCAGCCTCCCTGCTCACCAAGTCTTCCTCTGCGTTGGGGCTAATCCTTGCACCCCGGTGAGTGAGCGGGGAAGTGCAATACGCTGCAAGGGGCAGGCAGGCCTCACGCACACTGGGCGGGGGCTGCTGGCGGCCTGCACCCTTCCCTCCCTTCTAGCGCTGAGTCTGCGTGGCTGCCGGGCCCACCGCCTTGGTCCCGAAGCTGGGTCCCAGACACACCGAGATCACAGAGAAGAGACACAGGTCCCAGAGACACCGACCGGTTATTCCTGCCCCTTCCTGCTGCTTCCCAAGGAACTCCCGTGCCTGTCATCCTGGGCCAGGAGTGCAGGTGTTCTGACAGCTAGGTTCTCCGGCACTAAAGCAGGTGCAAGGGGAAGAGGAGGGCGGGGACTGAACCCCGGGTGACATGCTGTTTGGGCTGAACGTTTACCGGATTCCGAGCAGACCGGGCAGCATTCGCCCTCGGGGGTGGCCACGCGCAGGCACCGCAGAGGCGGGCACCTGGTCCTGTCGCAGAGCACCCTTCCGTGGGCGCACAGGCAGGTGGTGCAGGGCTCCGGTGACCACGCAGCCCCGTGGTACATGGTCATCCCGTTCACCGCACAGCGGCCCTTCCGCCCTAGGAGAGAGCAGCGGACACTGAGCGCCTGGGCGGCAGCTGGGACACACAGGGCAGCCTCTGTGTGGCTCCGCGGTGATGTCTCCCATGGGCCCTGCTCTCATCTCCTCTCCTGGGACCTGACGGGATGCGCCTCCATCCTCTCTGGCAGGGTGACTGTCCTACAGGCATAGGCGGGGTGACTGTCAGCTGGCAAGGCTGCACGGATTTGAATAGGAGAGACACTGGTTTTCTCCTGGCCCTAGTGTCCTTCCTAATCACTCTCCACCTAATGGCTCACATTGTCCCCAAATTGCACCCCCAATGAGTCTCACATGTGTCCGTCCTTCCCTCGCCGCTGTCAGTCCAGTTCCAGCCCTGCCAGCTCTCCTGGAGACACTTGCCCTTTCCTCCCGTGGAAGAAAATAGATCCTCCTGATGTTTTTCCTGATCATAAAAGCTCTATATTCTATAAAAATTCCAACAGCTTTTTTTTTGTTTTGTTTTGGGTTTTTTTGCCAAAAATGCAAAAGTTTACCCTCAAATTCACATAGAATTACAAAGGTTACTGGATATCCAAAAAAAAATCTTGAAGAAAAGTAACAAAACAAAATTGGAGAACTCACACTTAGATATTTCAAGTTATTACAAACCTGCGACCATCAGCAGTGGCATCAGGATAACATATCGGCCAATGGAATATTGAGAGTCCCTTACTATGGGCAAATGATTTTTTCCACTTGAACTACAAAGATATGCTGGCTTCTATTTATTTTTATAAAATAATTCTTTAACAGAACCAAGACGGCAGCCTAGGTAAGCGCCTAAACTGCCGCCTCACACAATTTCAAAACAACAACTAAAGACAGAACGGACATCATCCAAAACCACAGGAGAGCTGGCGGAGTGGGAAATCTACAACCAGAAAGAAGGAGAGAGGCTCACGGATCAGGGGAGCCACAAAGCACTGAGAGAGGAAGACGCGCGCAGAGAGGAAGGGCGGCCGAGTGCCGGGCTGGCGGGAGGGGAAAGGAAGCCCCCGACTGCACTGCACCCCAGTTCCGACTGCACTGAACCCCAGTCCCAGCCGAAACCCCGTGGACTCCGGCTCATACGTCTGGACTGTAGAAAAAGGCACCCAGAGACTCAGAGTCTGGGAGATGCGGGGGAGCCGGGAGCCGCAGTGTGCGAGTGAGTGTGCGCAGGGAGGTCTGAACAGACTGGGAGACCAGGAGAGCCGGAGCTGCAGACGTGAGTGAGTGCCCACAGAGGTCTGACTGCGGAGGTTGTCACAGCCGCTCCATAGAGGAAGGAGTTGGAAGCTCCTAACTGCACTGAATCCCCAGTTCCGACTGCACTGAGCACTGAAACCCAGTTCAGGGAGAACCTCTGGGGCACCCACGCTCTTACAAGGGGAATCTGGACTGTCAAGCGGAAACTCAGGGGATCCATGGAAGGCAGAGGTCTGAGGCACATGCACAAGGGCAGGACTGATGGGAAGCCAAGACGGGTAGCTCATCCCCAAGACTCCGCCCCATCCAAGCTGAGCTCAAAGGCTATTGCAATTTTGCAAGTCTGATCCTATAAGACTGTCTCCAACACAGAAGGTATCCTGGTGTAGACACAGCTGATACTCATATCAAATAGGCCTGGAGGTCAATTCCTCCCAGTGATACCAACAACAATCAAGACTTAACTACAACAAGGCTGTACACACAGTTCACAAAGGTGAGCACCAAGAGTGTCTACCTCAGGTAACTGGAGAGGCTGACCCACTGGACCATATAGGACACCAAGCACACAAAGCCACCCTACCAACTCAGGGAAGCAGCAAAAATGCCGAGACAAGAAAAGAGATCTCAAAAGAAATGGGGGAGAACAAAAGACTGGATATAGAGTTCAAAACCATGGTTATAGGTTTTTCAAGAATTTCCTAGAAAAGGCCGATAAATTTAATGAGACCCTCAAGGATATGAAAAGGGACCAACTAGAAATTAAGCATACACTGATGGAAATAAAAAATACTATACAGAGACCCAACAGCAGACTAGAGAAACGCAAGAATCAAGTCAAAGATTTGGAATACAAAGAGGTAGAGAACACTTCTCCAGAGAATCAAGAAGAGAAGAGAATCCAGAAAGTTGAAGATAGTGTAAGGAGCCAATGGGACAATTTCAAGTGTACCAACATCAGAATTATGGGGGTGCCAGAAGAGAAAGAGCAAGATACTGAAAACCTATTTGAAGAAATAATATCAGAAAACTTCCCCAACCTGGTGAAAGAAATAGACTTACAAGTCCAGGAAGTCCACAGAACCTCAAACAAAAGGAATCCAAAGAGGACCACACCAAGACATATCATAATTAAAATGCCAAGGGCAAAAGACTAAGAGCAGCAAGAGAAAAATAGTTACCTATAAGGGAGCACCCATATGACTATCAGCTGATTTCTCAACAGAAACTATGCAGGCCAGATGGGAGTGGCAAGAAATAGTCAAAGTGATGAATAGCAAGAACCTACAACCAAGATTACTCTACCCAGCGAAGTTACCATTCAGAAGAGAAGGGTAGATAAAGAGCTTCACAGATCACCACCAAACCAGTATTATATGAAATGCTGAAAGGTATTCTTTAAGAAGAGGAAGAAGAAGAAAAAGGTAAAGATAAAAATTATGATCAACAAATACATATATATCAACAAGTGAATATAAAAATCAAGTGAATTAAAAGTCTGAGGAACAGAATGAACTGGTGAATATAATAGAATCAGGGGCAAAGAAAAGGAGTGGATTGATAATTATCAGAGGGAAAGGGGTGTGGGAGATGCAGGAAGAGACTGGACTAAAATCATACATTTATGGATGAGGACAATGGTTGGGGGGAGGTAAGGGCAAAGGGTGGAGTGGGAACCGAGTGGAAGGGAGCTATGGGAGAGGGGGAAAGGAGAAACAATTGTAATAATCTGAGCAATAAAGATTTATTTAATTTTAAAAAAGTAAAAAAAAAAAGTTTAAAAAATAATTATTTATTGTTGAAACTATTACCTATTTCTCCCTTTTTCCCCCCATTGATCCCCTCCTGTCCACCCTCTGATCCCCCGCCCCAGGCCTTGAGCACCCCACTGTCTCTCCATGGGCATGCATAGATGCACAAAGCTCTTCAGTGGATTATCTCCCACCCAGCCACCCTCCCCCTCTGAGATTCTGCACTCTATTCCCTGCTTCCATGTCTCTGGATCCACTCTATTCACTTTATTTTGTTCATTAGATTCCACATATGAGGGAGATCATGGGATACTTGTCTTTCTCTGACAGACCCATTTCTCTTAGCATGATGCTCTCCAAGTCCCTCCATGCTGTCTCAAAGGGTACGAGATCCTTCTTTTTACAGCTGCGCAGTATTCTATGGTGTAAATGTACCACAGCTTTTTATCCACTGTCTGCTGATGGGCACTTGGGCTGTTTCCAGATCTTAGCTATTGTAAACTGTGCTGCTATGATTGGTGTTGCGGGTTTCTTAGGCTGTGTTCCTAGAAGTGAAATCACTAGGTCAAACAGAAGTTCATTTTTAATTTTTTGAGGAAACTCCATACTGTTCTCCACAGTGGCTGCATCAGTCTGTATTCCCACCAGCAGTGCACAAGGGTTCCCTTTTCTCCACATCCTCGCCAGCACTTGTCATTTGTTGATTTGTTGAAGATAGCCATTCTGACAGGTGTGAGATGGTACCGTATCTCATTGTCGTTTTGATTTGTATCTCTTGTATGATTAGTGACTTTGAGCATTTTTTAATGTCTCTTGGCCATTTGTATATCCTCTTCGGAAAAGTGTCTGTTTAGATCCTTTGCCCATTTAATTGGATTTTTTATCTTCCTTTTGTTAAGTTGTATGAGTTCCTTATATTTTGGATGTATCATTGCCAAACATGTTCTCCCATGCAGAGGGCTCCTTTTTCATTTTGTTGATGGTTTCTTTTGCTGTGCAAAAGCTAATTTTGATGTAGTCCCATTGTTTATTTTCTCTTTAGTTTCCTTTGCCCTAGGAGATGTATCTATAACCATGTTGCTATGAGAGATGTCTGAGATTTTGTTGCCTATGGTTTCTTTAGGATTTTTATGGTCTCGTGTTTTACATCTAAGTCTTTATCCATTTTGAGTTTATTCTTGTGTATGATAGAAGTTCATTCTACTTCATTTTTTTTGCATTTATCCAATTTTCCTAACACCATTTATTGGAGACTCTCTTGACTCCATTGTATGCTCTTGCCTCATTTGTCAAATATTAATTGAGCATAATGTCTTGGATCAATTTCTGGGATCTCTGTTCTGTTCCATAGGTTTGTATGCCTGTTCTGTGCGAGTACCACATGGCTTTGCAGTATTACTTGAAATCTGGTATTGTGATTCCCCCAACATTGTTTTTCTTTCTCAAAATTGCTGCAGCTATTTAGTGGTCTTTTTGGTTCCATATAAATTTTTGGAGCATATGCCATTGGTATTTTAATAATAGATTGCTTGCTTGCATTGTATAAACATTTAAATTATGTTAATTCTATAAAGCCATGAACCATGGTATAGTCTTCCACTTGTTTATATCTTCTTCTATCTCTTTTTTCAACATCCTATAGTTTTCCAAGTACAGATCTTTTGCCTCCTTGGTTAAATTAATTCCTAAGCATCTTAATTTATTTGTTTCGGTGGTAAAAGGGGTTGGTTGTTTAGTTTCTTTTTCTGAGAATTCATTATTGGTGTATTTAAAAAAAAAACCATCAATTTTTGGATATTGATTTCGTCCTACTACATTGCCAAATTCATTTATTAAATCTACTAGTTTTTTGGTGAGAAACTTTAGGGTTTTCTATATACAACATCATGTCACCTTGTGAATGAGTTTTACTTCTTTCCAATTTCAATGCCTTTTATTTCTTCTTGTCTGATAGCTGTGGCGGACTTCAGTCTGTTGGAGAAGAGCAGTGAAAATGAGCATGCCTTTCCTGTGGAAGCTCTTTATTGAGCGTCTGTTTTGAATGATAGCCTTGCTGAATCTCAGATCCAGCTTTCCATCTTCGTCTCAGATCCTTGCTTTCCGTCACATTGAGTACTTCATGCCATTCCCTTCTGGCCTATAGAGTTTCTGATTAGAAGTTAGATGTCAGCCTTATGGGAGCTCCTTTGTAAGTAAGTGCTTTTCTCTTGCTGTCTTTAATTTTTGGCATTTTACTTATGATGTATCTGTGGTGTCTGAGCATGGGCCTGTTCAGGTTCTTCTTGCTTGGGGCTCTCTGGACCTCCTGAACTCGTTTGACTTTTTTCCTTTATCAGATCAGGGACGTTTTCTGCGTTATTTCTTTAAACATGTTCTCTATTCCTTTCTGCCTCTTCTGGCACACCTACTATTCTAATATTATTATGTTTCACATTGTTCCACAGCTCCCTTAAGCTGTCCTCCTGTGTTTTTTTTTTAATTGTGTTTTCTTTTCGGTTCTCTGATTGAGTGATTTTTTTCAACCTTGTCTTCTAATTCACTGATTCAATCCTCAGCTTCTGCTAATCTGTTGTGTGTTCCTTCCAATGTGTTCTTTATTTGTGCTCTGTCATTATTTCCGACTATTCTTTTTTTCATAGTTATTATACCTTTTTTCATGTTGTTGAGCATCTTTGCCATCATTACTCTGAACTTGTTTCATATAAATTTCTTATACCTGTTTCATTTATCTCTTCTTCTGGAGAATTCTGTTGCTCTTTCATTTAAGATTGTTTCTCTGACTCCTTATTTGGCTGTCTCTTTGGATTTGTGACTGTGTATTAGGTAAATCTGATATGCCTCTCAGTTTCCAGTGCAGGACAATGTCAAATGCTGTTTCTAATTATATCAGGCAAAGACTTTAAGCCTCCAGAGCCTACCTTTGCCTACAGATTGATAGGATTCCACTTGAATGGCCCCAGGCAACAGGGTGGGACAGTTGCTTCTGCTTGGAGGCTAATTGTTTTTTGTAGTCTTTTACATGGCCTCAGGGCAAGGTGTTTTCCAATAGGGTGGGTCAACTGTCTTCCTCTCCGGCAAGGCAAATGTCTGCATGAGAAAGATGACCTCTGCAGTGTGAGGGAATGACTCAGCACAGGAAACAGGGGTGTCTACATTCCGAGCTGTAATCCCAGAGCCCCCAATCCTGGCTTCTGCTCACACAGCTCTAGTCCTCTCTGCCCTCCCTCTGGCGAAGCACATGGTGAATGACTCCACAGGGAATTTTGTGCTTCGGCCCTTTAAGAGGGTGCCTGAATTTTCAGCCATCACTCCCTGGCAGACAGCAATCCTGCTGTTTTTCACAGCCAGATGTTATGTAGGCACCCTTCTCAGTTCTGGTGCTCTCTGCTGGGGAGCCCATGTTGGGTATTAGACCTCAGAGTTCTCAGTGGCACCACCCTAACTCCCCCCCCCTCTCCCACCCCTCTTCCACACACAAAGCTGGGATATCTCTGCAAAACTTCAGCTGCTGTTTCTGGGCACCTGGCCCAACCCTTTCATGCCTCCACCCCCTACCAGTCTCTCTGTGGTCTCCACTTTCGGTCCTTGGGCATCAGGTTCTCTCCTCTGAGTCTTCCACTGATTATTCAGGAAGTTTTTCTGTGTTTTATTTGTAATTCCAGTTTGTTCCTGGGAGCATGTCTGTGCAGCATCCACTTACTCTGTCGCCATTTTTAATCCCTGGTCAAAGGATTTTTTACAAGAGGGCCAAGACCATTCAGTAGGGGGAAGATAGTCTCTTCAACAAATGGTGCTGGACAGCTGAACATCCATGTGCCAAAGAATGAGGTTGTCTCCTCCCTCACTCCAAATATAAGAATTAACCCAAAATGGATCAAAGACATGCATGTAAGAGCTAAAACTGCAATACTCATAGAAGAACACACAAGTGTACATTTTCATGACTGGGTTTTTAGATATTACTCCAAAAGCCCAGCAACAAAAAAACAGGTAAATTGGACTTTAACAAAATTAAAATGTTGATGCATTAAAGGACATAATCAAGAAAGTAAAAAGACAGCATACACAATGGCAGAGAATATTTGCAAATAATTCTCTGATAAAGGCCTAATAGCCATAATATACATAAGGAACTCTCATAACAACAGAAAGACAACCCCATTAAGAAATTGAGCAATGGACTTGAGTAGACATTTCTCAGAAGTTGTACAATGGACAATAAACACATAAAAAAGATGGTCAGTATCATTAGTCATTAGGGAAATATACAGTAAGATAAAACTTCACATTCATAAAAATGGCTATATTTTTAAAAATTGAAAAATAACATGTTGGCAAGGGTCCAGAGAAAATGGAATCTTTGAACGTTGCTTGAAATGGTGTCTGTCACCTTTGTTGAAAACATGTGGTGGTTCCTCAATAAATTAATCATAGAATTTCCATGTGACCCAGCTCCTTGTTACCCCATGTTCCACTTATAAGTATATACCCAAGAAAATTAAATACAGGAGTTCAAATAGAAACTTGTTCACAGGCGTTTATAGCGTGCTGTTCACAGTAGCCAAAAGTTAGGAACAACCAAAATGTCAATCAGCAGATGAATGGGGAAACAAAATGTAGTCTGTTTATATAACAAAATATAATAGGATATTATTCAGCCATAATAAAGGGTGAAGTACTGACACATGCTACAACATGGATGATCTTGGGAATCATTATACTAAAGTGGAAGAAGCCAGGCACAAACAGCTGCAGATGACTCCTTTTATATGAAGTATCCGGAGTTTGGAAACTTTAGAGACAGTTTAGAGCCAGGGCTGGGTTAGGGGGAGTTTCCTTTTGATCAGGAACTAGATAATGATCAGTGTTACACACTGCATTGTGAGTTTACTGAGTGCCACTGAATTGTACATGATGTAATGTTAAAATGATAAGTTTTATGTTATTTCATTTAGTTGCAGTTTTTTAAAAAGTGCTATAAAACCACTGGAAAGCATTTTAGGACAGTTGAGAAATGTTTATATACATCTATGCATTTTTATGCAAACTTGCCTCCATTACGTATTTGTAAGCAGCTTTGAGATCTCATCACGCACACTGCTCTCCACCACTGCGCTGCCTGTCGCGAGGCACGTGACTCCTCAAGCTTGAGCAGCTGGGACAGTGTCAGCATTGTGCCTCTGACTTGCCCCAGTCATGCTGTGATTGTGATCTAAGTTGTGTATTTTCACAGACATTTTCTTATTTCTGTTAACTTCGTAGAAATACCATCCATCATGTAGAAGCTTTTGGTTTCCTTGAGATAATATATGAAGTGTTGGCCACAGAATATTATGTGGTATTATTTTCTTATGTCTTTTGAAATTTCATGTAAAGGTAATATGTACAATATAATTACTTTTTTCTTAAGTCTGCAAAAATGAGGACTTTGAAATCATTATATTAAAGTGTTCTTAAAAATGACTAGTTGAAATATTTGGCAGAATTTCCAATCTTCCCAACCTTTAAAAATTCAGTAATTTAGCCCTGCTGGCATGGCTCAGTGGTTGAGCATTGACCTGTGAACCAGAAGGCCACGATTTGATTCCCAGTCAGGGCACATGCCTGGGTTGTGGGCTCGATTCCCAGTGTGGGGCCTGCAGAAACATCAGTGATTCTCCCTCATTGTTGATATTTCTATCTCTCTCTCCTTTTCCCTTCTTTTCTGAAATAAATGAAATTTATTTTAATGAAATTATAAAAACTTCAGTAATTTAGTCTATATAAAATAAAAAAGCTTAATTCTATATTTTGTTGAAAAAAATTTTATTTAAAATTAATATCCTTTTTATAGAATCATCTGAATCATTTATTTCTATATCTTAGGTAATATAGAAAGTTAAAAAGCAGTTTAAAAATTTATATGTATGTTAACTTTATGATTATAACTAAAATACATTGTATAGTAAACAGGCTAGAAAGAAATAAAACAAAATAGTAACTATCCTATCTAATAAAGAGGGAATATGCTATTTGATCCTCATGCCATTGTAAAGATGGCAGCATCCACAGCCAGTAAGGAGGGAATATGCTAATTGACTGTCGTGCCCTCAAAAATAGCGGCGCCCACAGCCTCAAGATGGCGGCACCCAGTCCCTTCAGCCCTGCTGGGGCGCCTGCCTTTGGAGTGCCCCAGTCTCCTCAGTCCCCCAGCTGCCCAGGATCAGCCCAAGGTGCAGGCAAGACTCGGATGGGGGCTGCCCAGCTGCCCAAGGCCATCCGAGGCTCAGTGGCAGCAGCAGCAGTGTGATGGGGCATTGTCTTCCCATGATCCCCGGGTCACCTCCCGCCCCTGAGGGCTCTCAGATTGTGAGAGGGGGCAGGCTGGGCTGAGGGAGCCCCCTCCAGGGCATGAATTTTCATGCACCGGGCCTCTAGTGGTTTTATAAATATAGTGTAGGACAACTAATAACTTTATCTATTTTCCAAAACTTTTATAAATAGATTCTATGCATGATTTTTAAAATTATTTTAAAATATCTTTATAGATTAAACCAAAAGATAAGTTTAATTTTTAAAAATTATTTTCATGGAGGTTCTCTTTCTCGTTCTCTCTTTAGTACTGTTTTCTTACCTGGTAGCACATTGTAGCTTGATTCTACTCCATGAACACTGAAAAAGGATTCAAACTTCTCCTCAGTACTAGAATCCAAGTTAGCCAGGGGAAGAGCCGCCACTGGCGTCACCGCCGTTGTTTGCTGAATTCTGGGCTGTCTGCTGGACCTGTGGTTAGGCGAAGAACTTTTCTTCAGTCTTTTGTCATCCATCTTCCACCTTTGCTTCCTGGGACTTTCATCGTTTTGTCCCAAGTCAGTTTGAAAAATGATAAGCAGAAAAACACAAGACAAACCTGCAAACTTCATGCTTGCGTTTTCACCATCTAGTTTCTAGAATGAGAATGAAACAATATCCGAATGAATGGTGACAAAATTTTTATATCTGAAAATTGACTAATAATTGCCTCTATGCCTCAGCAGCAGTCTTTGAGAAGTATCACATATGATATATGGAATCTGTGCTTCAGTATTTCTGGCAAGTCAGAATTCAGAATTTTTCCATCAGAATTAGACTTCTAATATCTTTGTCTCCTGACTAGGCATGAGCAGACTTTTTCTATAAAGGACCAGACAGTAAATACTTTAGGGTTCACAAGTCATATGTTCTCTGTCATAACTGCTCCCACCGCCATTGTAGCAGGAAAGCAGACAGGCTGTGCACAGATGATGTGACTGTGTGCCAATAAGCTTCCGTTTACCAAAACAGGCGGTGGGTCCGACTGGTGCTGGGCCAGTTCCTGGCCCTTCTCTGGAGCACTGAGTTGTAGGGTTTCTTTGCACCCATCTGCCAAGTCATTTTGTTACTGACATTATCTAAAGTCCATTTCCCCGCTCTCCTTTGTTGCTCTTTTATTCTCTAATAACTGTATAACTTTATCTGTTGAGGGAGGAGACATGATCGCACTATATAAAAATAATGGGGCCTGGCCGTGTGACTTCATGGATGAGCGTCAACCTATGAACCAGGAGGTCACGGTTTGATTCTTGGTCAGGGCGCATGCCTGGATTGCAGGCTCAGTCCCCAAGTGTGGGGCGAGTAGGAGGTAGCCGATCAATGATTCTCTCTCATCAGTGATGTTTCTCTCTCTCTCCCTCCCTCTTTGAAATCAATAAAAATATATTTTTAAAAAATAATAAGGGGAAGTAGCATAAATTATAAATAGGTAAGAGGGACAAAAAGTAACTCTTAATTAGCTGGTCTCAAGAGCAGCAAGGGCCCTGCACGTGGGGAAGCTGAGAAGCGCAGTTGAGAAACACGTCAGTGCTCTGGGTGAGAGACTGTGACAGTAGTGTTGTCCTTGGGCAGGATGCCCCAGGCTCTGTCAAGTCAGGTGCAGGGACAGGTAAGAGAAGCCCTTCAAAAGGAGATTACAGGGACTTTGCTGGAGGATCACACAACCATACCCTCTGACCTGCAGAGGGCTGTGCACCCCACCTTCCCTCCGCTGGCAGTTCCTCCCTTGCACTCTTCCCCAGGTTCTCTCCCTGTCAGTACCCTGATCAGCTGCCCTCTGCACACAGCCAAGGTATGTGGCGGAGAACCTGAAACCCCCGCAGTCCTAAGGACCCAGAATCCTCAAAGTGTACCCCCCTCCTCACAGACCTCCTTGATCATCTCTGTCAACCAGAACAAACCTGTTACATTTCAGAGAACATCACTCTGGCTGGTGAAGGGAAGAGATGGGAAAGGCTCCGGGTGACGCTGCTACAGAAATTAAAACTTCAGACTGCCCTGGAGGGACTTGGAGAGCTCAAAGAGCCCACAGTGGCACAGAGCCTGTCAGTCAGCAGCCGTGTTGGGACCTTAGGAAATAACAGTGACCCTCCAAACATGTGACGCAGCCTTTCTGGGTGAGAGTGGCCTGCTGACATCCAAATGTTCCTCTCTCAGGTCTGCTTCCAAACCGCGGGGAGGCTGTGGGAGCCAGGAGCATCTGAAGAGATTGTGTACTGGAGGCCAAGAAAGCCTTCCCTGACACAGTGCCTGGCACCCAAATGTATATCAAATGGAGATGATCAGTGTCAGGTCCAGCCAAATATTGTGATCCTCTCCGTAAAACCTGTAATGGTTATAGCGAAAACAGAGTTGCCACCCTGGGTTCTTTGCCTATGTACAAATGTCATTCACTGACATTTCCCCCCACTGACATCTTTTTTCCATTCTGCCGTATGCTACATCACCTAGGGCTGTGGTCGGCAAACTGCGACTCACAAACCATAGGTGGCTCTTTGGCCCCTTGAGTGTGGTTCTTCCACAAAATACCACGGCCTGGGTGAGTCTATTTTGAAGGAGTGACCTTAGAAGAAGTTTTAAGTTTAAAAAATTTGGCTCTCAAAAGAAATTTCAGTCGTTGTACTGTGGATATTTGGCTCTGTTGACTAATGAGTTTGCCGACCACTGACCTAGAGGCTAAGCATAAGGGTTTCCATTTTGCATTACCAGCATTCCTGCCAGGTGGACAACTAGTGATCAGAGTGGGTCCATGAAGGGGTGGCTCCCAGAGAAGCTGAAGGTCAGGTCATGGTCACTTCTGAGAGAACTATCAGCCATTACCAGTTTGGTAACAAGACTTATCAAATCTGACTTTTACTGCCAACCAAGGTGGAGTAACAGACCACATATAACTTCCCACCTAAAACAATTGAAAATTTGACAAAAAACTTGAAACACCATTTTCAAATATTAGACCTGAAACAGCACAAGGTAGGGATCCCGGGGCAGGATGAGGGGCACAAAACTGAAGGTGAGCCCCTGCTTGCTTCTAGAGAAGGGGTGTCGAACTCAATCAGAGAAGGGGCCAAAATCTAAAATCCAGCCTAAATCGCGGGCCGAATGGTTTACTGAACAGTCATAAACTGTCATTGTGATGGAAACACAGCGGAGTGCAGTGATGACAGCGCGGTGCGGGCCACATTGCAAGGCCTGGCGGGACGGATTTGGCCCGCGGGCCTTGTGTTTGACACATGTGGTCTAGAGGGAGTTCCTTCCTAGGCTGCAGCTCAGGGAGGGGACCCAGACTGAGCCCCTTAGTCTGCCTCAGTTGGAAAAACAGACCTGAAGGTCTGGAGACACCAGAGAGGCAAGAGTCTGCAGATCAGAGTACAGAAAGGTGAGAGCTACCCAGAAAGCATACTCAGACTGAAAGTAAAGGGATGGAAAAATAAATTTCATGGAAATGAAAATTTAAAAAAAGAGCTAAGATAGCAATACTTAATATTAGACAAAATAGGTTTTAAAACAGGATATAATAGAAGACAAAGAAGGACTTTTCATAATGACCAAGATATCAATCCAAGAGGATATAACCCTTATTTATCCAAAACAGGAGCACCTAAAACTAGGTATACCAGTTAATAATGTGGATTTTTTAAATAGATGGAGTTACACATATGTTGATATATATAAGCATTTGATATGTATGCTATTTTGTTATATTGACATCAAGCTTCAAAACTTCAAAAGTCATTTTCTGAAGGTGTTAACATCACAGGTATTTTTACACTTAAAAGTGTTGAATTTCCTGCAAAAAAAAAAAAAAAGCATTTGCAGGAAGTTTTAATTCATTATTTTGAAAAAAAGTGCTGCTGAAAGTTATTATATACTTCGGGAAGCTTATGGTATTCATGCTCCATCTCAACTTGCCTCCAACTGCTCCGCTGCTGGCCTGGTCACCCCACGCAGCCTGCTGTTCAATCATTTGGTTGTCCCTCATCAACGCCCCATGCAGCCTTTTGCTCAGCCATTTGGCTGTCCCTCACCAACCCCGCTGCTGGCCTGGTTGTTCCACACAGCCTGTTGCTAGGTTATGTTGTGGGGTCGAACCCTGGGTTCAAAATAAGACCACCGATTTATTAAAAAAAGCAGGCAAAGATTTATTGAAATATCTGGCCAGGACAGTCACAAGAGCACCACACGCAGGCGGACTCCAAACGACTGCGAGGCTTTAAGGGCAGGTAGTTATTTTTAAAGGTTCTGAGAAGGAAAACCCCTATTTTGCAACAAACTGTTGTTTGGAATTTCCTGCTGTTCTTCCTAGATAAAATGTTGCTTTCTAGTTTGCTTTAGCCTGTTTGAAGAATGATGAAGATAAACTCAGCTGTCTGACCTTGTAGGCCAGAAACCAGACATGCCCACAATCTCAATACCATGCCAGGTGCACCTTCTCAATTGGATAGAACAGCACTGTTTTTCAAGGCCAGCATCGAGATAACCACCAAGTGCACGTAGGGCTGGCTCTTTAATAAAAAAAAAAATAAAAAATAAAAAATAAAAAAGCAAGTTCTGCCTGTAACCTTGCTTAGAATTTGAATTCATCCTACTTCAGGTTATCCATCCTGTTGTTTCAATCGTGATGGCCCCTGGCTTTTTATATATTAGGATAATTTCTAGAGGACTTTAAAGGAGAGATAGACAGCAATACTGTCATAGTAGGGGACTTTAACACCCCACTGACTTCATTGGATAGATCTTCCAGACAAAAAGTTAATAAGGAAACAGTGGTTCTAAAGGACACACTGGATCAGATGTGTTTAACTGACTTTTTTAGAACATGTCACTCCAAAGCTGCAGAATACACATTCTTCTCAAGTACTCATGGGTCATTCACAAAGATAGACCATATCTTAGGACACAAAACAAGTCTCTACAAGTTCAAGAAGATTGCACTCATATTAAGAATCTTCGCAGACCACAGTGGAATCAAATTAGAAACCAACTACAGTAAAAACACCCCAAAACATTCAAACACATGGAGGCTAATAGCATGCTATTAAACAACAAATGAGTTCTCAAGGAGATCAAGAAAGAAAGAAAAACTTCCTGGAAACGAATGAAAACACCCAACAACCTCAATTCTCTGGGACCCAACAAAAAAAACACTTCTGAGAGGGAGGTTCATAGCACTACAGGCCATCCTCAAAAAACAAACAAACAAAAAACCACAAGAAAAATGAATAATAAACTATTTATACCTACAAATTAAAAAAATTAGAAAGGGAACAATAAGTAAAGCCCAGGGTAAGTGGATGGAAGGAAATACTAAATATTAGAGCACAAATAAATGACACAGATGCTACAAAATGATATAAAAGATCACTGAAATGAAGATTGGGCTTTTTGAAAAGTTAAAAAGGATTGATGAACCATTAGCTGGCTCATGAAGAATCTGAGAGAAACCAAATACACAAAATCAGAAATGAAAGCATTTAAGTAACAACTGACACCACAGAAATTCAAAAGATTTTAAGAAAATAATGTGAACAACTATATACCAACAGACTAGACAGTGTGGATGAAATTGACAAATTCCTACAAAAATATGGTCTTCCAA